ACAACGCTATGGTCACTCACCTAGTCCCAATGACCAAGAGGTCGAGATAGGGACTAGGGAGCGCCTAGGGGGGTCCTTATATACTAGAGGGACTGCTTAGCAACCAAGGACAAGGCGCGAGAGCGAGGCAGTGAAGATGACAAAGGGGGAACAAAGGGCGAGAAAGAAAAGGCAAGGGCATGGCGATCACGGGAACGTAGCATGCGGCTGTGGGAACGTATCTACAGTGTCCAAACTGGGATGAGCTAGGAAAGGAAACGGTCCGGAAATGGAAGGTGGGCGTCAAAGGGGAGGGAATGGGCGGCAAAAAGGGGCGTCTGTCCAACGTCCGTGACAGTGACACTGGGTGTCGGTTAGGTTGATTGGTATCTATACCGGCACATAGAGTCCGGCTTATCCATCACAGGCATGAGGAAGTGAAAACGGGTGAAGTACGCATCGACCTGCAGGAAAATCAGCCCTCTCTCCGCCGATAGGTGCGGTAAATATTACGTACAAGCTTGTCTGCGAAGTCCCGCACAGCGTATTCAACTTCTCCAGTCTCGCTAAGGCCCTGACCTTCCCGAGGTACGCACTTGCGGGGAAGTATAGCTTGTTGACGCTTGGTCCAGGAGCGAGCTCGTCCTCCTCCATCAGTGAGACATGGTGCAGCGGGAACGTCGTCGCCTCCTTCGGTCGCTGAAACAGCGACATTGTGGACGAGTTACTGATCCAGTGCAGGTGCCCGTGCTCGTTAAGGGCGCGCTGACCGAGCACGTTTGAGACGTCCTCTTCAACGTACACGGCAACGTTGTCGTCCGAACCATGGCCGCTCGTGCTGTGGCTGTCAGTCAGATCGGTTGCCGATGGCCTGCCCTTCATGAATTCGGGGCAGGTACAACTACGTGATGTCCGGCACAGCTCCTGCCGTGCTCTGCGCCTCCGATGACGACGAGCCTTACTGGCTCAACATGGCCGCGGATATTGCAGTGAGGTTGATCCCGGTAGCCTGGCTGATCTGGTCGAGGATGGGCAAGATCTGCCGGAAAATGCCCATACTGGCTGCGGAGCAGTCGAGTCCCAGAGGGCAGAAACTTACCAGGTATAGTCGGCATGCTCCCCTGTGTACGTGTTTGCGGCGACAGTACAGGCCTGTACAAGAGAATATCACACCAGAATACAGAAATGAGCGTTCATCACGAAGAGGATTACAGCCTGTCCACGAAGGTGGAAAAGAGAAAGACGTACCGAGCATGCCAAAGCCTCTGTTGTAATCTTGACACTCCTCCCTTGCGATACTCGTAGACCCTCGTCGCCAGCAGATCAGTAGCCCTACTTGGTGTACCACCAGCACTCAGGCATGCAGCGGAGGTTGTACTCATGCAAGACTCACGTGTTGCCCTTCCTACATAGCCCGCATCGGCATTGCTTACAGACGGTCACCAAGTGTTGTTCACAAGGGTAAATGGGCAGCTGTTTTCGCGATTGGAAGTTCTGCACAGAGGGCATGGTGTTTCTGAGAGGACAGTGCAGTGGGTCGAGGGAGTAGGCCCGTTGCTGTAAGAGACATCTGTAGATTGGGACATCTGGGCTTTGGTACACAACCGGGCGGCGAACCTGAGTTAATCACGCATCCAAGACGCTCTGCAGCCAGGGTGTGGGGCAGATAGGCAGAGGCAGAGACGGGTGGAGGGAGACAGACGGAAGCCTGCCAGGAGGGAGAGCTTATTCCAAGCAATGATGAATGAGGTCCTCAAGGAGGAAATTGCGACTGGGCATGTCGTAGTTTACATTGACGACATCCTCATCTTCACAGACGACCTCACTCTGCATCGTCAACTGGTAGAGCGGGTTCTGAAGAAGCTGCGCGACAACAACCTCTTTGTTAAACCGGAAAAGTGCAAGTTTGAGCAGCCCTCGGTCCACTTTCTCGGACTAGTTGTGTCAAAGGATTCAATCTCCATGGACGAGTCTAAGGTGCAAGGTGTCAAGGAATGGCCTACTCCGACCAAGGTCAAACACGTTCAAGCCTTCCTCGGATTAGCCAACTTCTATCGGTGTTTCATTAAGGACTTTGCCAAAATTACCCGACCACTCACTAAGCTCACATTCAAGGACATTTAATGGCAATGGGGAGAGGAACAGGAGCAGGCCTTTGAAGGACTGAAAACCGCATTTACGACCGCTCCAATCCTTCAGATCCCGAACGACATGGCTCCATGCAGGCTAGAAACAGACTCGTCCGACTTTGCAACAGGGGCAGTCTTGGAACAACTTGGAGAAGATAAGCTATGGCACCCGGTCGCCTTCTACTCCAAGTCCCTCAATGTTCACGAACGTAACTACGAGATCTACGACAAGGAGCTTTTGGCCATCATCCGAGCCTTGGAAGAATATCGACACTATCTGGAAGGACACCCCGAACCGATTGAGATCTGGTCAGATCATCTCAACCTCACCTACTTCCGACAAGCACAGAAGCTCATACGCCGACAAGCCTGATGGAGTTTATTCATGTCTCGCTTCAACTTCGTTCTGAAGCATCGCCCTGGGAAGACAATGCTACGAGCCGACCCTCTTGTCACAGCCAACGAGCTGTGCCACCAAAACAAACAAGGGCAAAGCTTACTGGTGCAGAGGTTGGTGCTGAGAAGCGAAGCAACCCGAAGTGACACAGCAAGAGATGTGAAGAGGTGTATTCCCTAGACTAGAAGGGGCAGTAGAAGGTAGGGCTGCTAGCTACCTACAGAGGAGATGGGGGATCGATGAGAAGATCAAGTATGAGGTTCCCTGCCTCAGACTCCCTACTATATATACTAATACAACGGTGCACAGACCAGGTACCTATTGACCATCGTTTGGTCAGAGTTCTCTGCCTCATGTCCTACCCTCTGACCTGCCTCATGGTGACCTTACGACTAATACCTGAGTCGTGCCGAGTCCGG